TGTGAAGCAAATGTGAAGCTCCCACATAATATGATTTTTAAGGCAGTGTTTGCTTTTGGAGATTCAATTGTGGATCAAGGAAATAATAACTATTTAAAGACGCTAATAAAGTGTAATTTTCAGCCTTATGGTAAGGATTTCATGGGCGGAATGCCAACAGGAAGGTTCAGCAATGGCAAGACGCCAGCCGACTTGATAGGTACTCCGGCAGTTTCAATTTATGTGATGCAATTACTTTTTTAAATTTGTGATTTAAATATGTCATTCGGAAGTCCCCATGCATCATTCAGGCGTAGCACATCACATATTTGATAAATCCCTCGATGCCACTCTCAAGTCCTTCGGTATATAGTTATAGTTAAACATTCTTTAACATGTGCGTGTATATAGTTATAAATGCTTCTCATAAGGATATAATAGATATAGAATAGAAAGTTTGAAGTTAAATTCTTTTCAAATATATAAAAGAAAAATGCATAAAGACCCCATTCAACTTGTCCTGAAAAATCATTTACACATCTAAACTTCACGGGTGTCCTATTACCACCGTATCCTTATCCAAGATGAATTTATTTAACCCCTAAAATGCCACAACCTAATTCTACCCAAGTAGTGTTTACTCGCGCTGACACGTGGCATTTTCACAATTTTTTTTCATTTTTTTCTTTCTTTGACCGGAATGATCATCCCCCTCCCCAACCGAACCTTTCTTTCTCTCCTTAAAAATATTCCAAACATTTTTATCAACTTTTCTAGCTTGCCTAAGAAATTTCAGTCATATTTGTCAGATCTCCATGGGCAACCAAATTACAAATTAAGAAGTGACTTTTTCATAAAAAGTTTTTTTGATGGAACCTTTGCAAGAGAAACTAGCAGACTATATTGACAAGAAAATGGTCTCTCTTTTTGGGGAAAAAGTTTTTTTGCTGGAACCTTTGCAAGAGAAACTAGCTAACTATATTGACAAGAAAATGGTCTCTTTTTTTGGGGTTTTCTCGTCAATTTTCTTCTTCTTGGTCAAAAGATAAATATATAAAGTAAAGTTAATGTATAGAGCACAACCGCAAAGCAAGAGGAAGCTAAGAAAGATCCAATAAAGTATTGGGTTTTCGTTTTCATCTTGGTTGTTTGCTCCGACCAAGCTGTGAAGAACAATTGGAGGGTGAAGGAGATGATAAAATAGGTGTAGAAAGAGCTATCAATCTTTAATTTTTGTTCTGTTACAATTATGATTGTATGGTGCTGCTCTGTTGTGACAATGGTAGAAGGAGAAAGAAGAAAAGGAAAAAGGAAGGAGAAGAAAAGAAAACAGGAAAATGAAAATAAAAAGGGTTAGTATTACACCAAATACAGCTAATTAAGTGTAATTAAATGTAACAACTAATGGAAAATTAACATCTGTACAAATTAAGTAGCTTTTTACATTTTCTCAGCCTTCCACGCGCTTTGAGTAAGGTGAAATTAGTTTCTCTGTCACCTCACCTTTAAAGGAGGTACTAATTTCCCTTTGAATAAGAATAGGGTGGAACTAGGACACCCGTAAAATTTAGGTGTGTACATAATTTTTCAGGACAAGTTGAATGGGGTTTTTATGCATTTTCTCTATATAAAAATGTCATTCTTTTTGGACAAGTTAATACGGAAAATGTGTCATATAAATTAGAAAAGAGGAAATAGTATTTGAAAACCTATAAGTGCAGCCAAATTTAGGTCAAGGATTTGAATTTTTATGAGTTCTTTTGTTAATATATATATATATATNATTCAATCAGACGCATATCTAATAAGCTACATCAGCCAAGTATGACATAACTCTGTGCTTGTCCATTTTAGCGGAAGAACTGGGGATAAAAGAGCTCATGCCAGCTTATTTAGATCCAAATTTGAAATCTGAAGATATAAAAACTGGAGTAAGCTTTGCATCTGGAGGTTGTGGATATGATCCTCAAACGGCTACCATCGTGGTAACTTTCTATTCATTATATTATCCGTTAGGTTAGAGTAATCATTTTCAATTAGCAGCACTGATCATTCTTGTCAAAGAAGGGAGCCTTGGTGCAACTGGTAAAGTTGCTGCCTTATGACCAGGAGGTCACGAGTTCGAGCCGTGGAAACAGCCTCTTGCAGAAATATAGGGTAAGGTTGCGTACAATAGACCCTTGTGGTCCGACGCTTCCCTGGACCATAACAGGAGCTTAGCGCACTGGGCTTCCCTACATTTGTTAAAAAAAAATAGAAAGGAACACTAACACTTGGTCCTATTTTTTTCTTAAATATATGTAATCAGGCTGCCATACCTCTATCAACACAATTAACGCAGTTCAAGGAATATATTGTGAAGCTGAAAGGGTTAGTTGGGGAAGAAGAAGCTAATTATATTCTGAAAAATAGCTTATTTATGGTGGTTGCTGGTACTGACGATCTAGCCAATACTTACTTCACCGCTGGAATTCGCTTGAAGCAGGATATTAACTCATATACTGATCTCATGGTGGCTGAAGCTTCTAAATTTCTAAAAGTTAGTATGTATACCTCTATGCTTAGTTTCAAATTTATGGTTACTGTTTATGACTGAGATTTATGAAAAAAAAATTAGCCGATATGGGAGACTAAACACCCTAGCAACTTGACCATAGACAATATAATATGGGAGGCAACACCAATAAAACAAAGAATTTGGATGAATTTCGCTCTGATACTATGATAATAAAATAGATCTTGGGTTTAACTCAACTGCAAAAGTTAGGTGATGAGGCCAGGATTGCCCAAGCCATATAAATTAAGAGATCAAATCCTTCATTCCTTAACCGATGTGAGGGACTGCTTGCACCGTATATTCATCACGCCTGACTATCATTCACAACCATGATCACTAACTTCCTCTACCAACTACGGCCAACACTAATCATCACTTTACCACACGTCCACACCCTATAGGTGATCACTCATTCACTTGCCACTGCCGGTGGCTTTTAGATTATGATTGAACAAATAAAGAATTTAGATATTACCTTATTTATTTAATATTTCACAAATATAATCTTCATTATTAAATTCTTTGAATTTCTTAATTTTTTCATCTTTAGATAAAGAGAATTTTACACATTCCTATATTAAAAGAAAAACAAATCGCTTTAATAGTCAATAGTTAAATATAGTTACACTATCTTTATCTTAGTCTTGATCATCTAAGGGAGCCTTAACAAGTATATTGACATATGCTCTTAATATAGTTGTCTCTCAAAATGGCTGAATTCCTTTATAAAGATAGTTTTTTTAGTACCATTAATAACAAAACAAATTTTCAGTAAATTACATATATACTGATTCAATTTTTTTTGGGGGCAAGGAATTGTACAAGTTGGGAGCAAGAAAATATTGGATTTTTGGAGTTCCACCAATAGGATGTTTGCCATCACAAAGAACACTTGCTGGAGGGCTTAGTAGAGAGTGTATTCAAAAATACAACGATGGTGCACAATTGGCCAACACCAAGTTCTCTATTGCATTTGATTCTTTATCCAAAAGGTTGCCTCAGTCCAGACTGGTTTTAGTTGATATCTACAATCCTCTACTTGATCTCATTCTTAACCCCCAAAAATATGGTATAATAGACATTAACCTTCTATAAACTCATATATTGTCGAGTAATTCCTACATCGGGTTGGATGTTTATATTTGGTCTTCTTATATGATTGTGGGTAGGGATGGCAAACAGGATGGTTGGATTGAATATGGGCGGGTAAAAAATAGGTAATGAAAAAATAGATAAATTTAGTATGGATAAAAAATAGATTAACCGGAGGATAATATGGATATCCATGTCTTCTTGAATATGATTACTTTTGGGAGAATTTCTAGTCTCCCAAATTTGAGGAACCCAAAATTTAGTCCTTACAAATGTAAAAGTTAAACCCAATGATTATCCATTTTCTAAGTGGATAATATAATTTTTTTCTCCATATTTGACCCATTTTTCAAAAGCTCATTGTCTAACCCATTTTTTAGTGGATAATATGGATGGATAACTATTTTTTAAATCTATTTTGCCACCGATTTTGGACAACCTTCTTCTCATGAGCTAAAAAGCTCAAATTTAGGGTTGAGTTAGATCTAAGGTCCATTTATTTATCATATCTCTAGACTTTTTTGAGATTCTTCATCTTTTGTCTTTTAATTTCTTGTGTTCTTCTTTTATTAATTTTGTGATTATGAATCAATGGTTGTAGGATTTGAAGAAGCAGCGAAAGGGTGTTGTGGCACAGGAAACATAGAGGTGGCATTACTATGCAACAAATTTAGTGGAACATGTGAAGATGATACAAAGTATATTTTTTGGGATAGTTATCATCCCACTGAGAAGGTTTACACAACCATTGTTGATCAGCTCATTACAAAATATATCAACAGTTCTTCTAGATGAGTTCACTAAGATCTAGATATGTTTGTAATTGTGGATCAAATGTCTAAGAAAATGTTTTCAAATCAGTTGATTAAGCTTGAGATGATAGAAATCATTGAACCTCGAGTATTAGTCATTGATGTTCATTTATATATGGCTAGTAGTATTTATGTTCGAATTTTGAAATTGAATAAAAAATAAATTTGTGCACAATAAAGTATGTAGTTGGTTATCTAACAGTCTTTATTTATTTTTTTTAAAATGAAGTGCGCATATTACATCATTAAAAGAAAAAAAGATCTGAAATAAAGTTTGAAAATAGGAAGTTTTAATTAAACAAAAATTGTTTTTCTAAATTCTGTTGAATTGTAGTGAATCTTCTATGTTAAACCAGACAAATTGCATCGAGGCTCTTTGCAAAATACTTTAATGTAACGCTCTTTGCGTACCTTTTGCAAGTTGCAACTAACTCAACGGATGAATGATGGCATTCGACCGATACATGACAAGGCAAGAGAACGATAAGATTTACCTTAATCGCTTTTCCTGCACGTTCTAGGAAAGATCATAGCGGTAAATAGCTGCTAATTTAGTAGCACTATGAACTACTATGAACACAGACCAACACGCCAAAATTTGGCAAATGGGGATCTTTACTAGAAGAAGCAGAAAAGAAAGTGAAGTTGAAGTGCACACTATATCTCCATTGACTGTGGCGCCGCAGGACATGGCAGGGCGTGGCCATGCACGAGTCAGGACATGGCAGGACATGGCAGGACGTGTCAGGACGTCGCAGGACATGGCAGGGCGTGCCCATGGCATGACGTCGCACCAAGCCGCACCACGTCGCTCCACGCCGCACCACGTCGCACCATGCAAAGCGCAATGACGTTGGTGGTCGTTGGTTGAGGTGGTGGAAAGTCGCGGTGGTTCGAGCGGTAACGACCGGCGACAGTTGGTAGATTTCTTTTTTCCTTTTCTATTTCCATTTTTGTTTTCCCTTCTTTTTGGCTTTTCATCCAGGGTCGGCTGCGTGCTTTGAAGATGTTGATGAATGGCACCCAACGGATCTGCCTGGAAAGCAGGATGATTAACAACTGCATGAAACTGATTGCCTTCCTTCAACACTAAATTTTTCCTATTTTTACTTTTCAACTTGAACTCTGCAGGTTTTGGTTGCTGAGAGGCTTTGAACTCTGGGAGAAACTCCGAAAGCTCGGAAAGATCATAAGCCTTTAATTTCTTTTGCCTGCTTCTTACTTTCTTCTTAGTAATAGACTTCTGGGCAGCTAATGAAGTAACTGTCTGTTTAACCTTAGCATAAAACTCGAGCTTCTTTTCGAATTTACGTTCAGCTCGGGCGGCTGCATCTCTGCGTGAGGCTGTCTTCCCCATGCTTGACGGGGTACTAAGAGCAGCGCCTTTGCTAGAATGCTTGGCCAAGCTTTTTTTTTGGCCAATTCCTTTTTTTTTTTTTGTCAAAAGTATTTTTTCTAAAGTTTAAGGTATAGGNGGGTTTGGGTTCATCCGGGTAAAAATTGAACCATAAGGGTTACGGGGTTAAGGGGGCCGGGCCGGGCCGGGTTTAGTGTATTTTTTTATTTTTTTTGTATTTTGTATAACTATTGAAAGTTATATTAATAATTTGTATTAATTTAAAGATTACAAGTTATATTAATACAAAAGTATTAATATAAATTGCAAGTGCTACATATATTTCAAAATATAGTTTGCATTTAAAAAGTAAATTAACAAAAAATAGTAAAACTAAATTTTCATGCATAATAAATTAACAATACTTCAAATTAATCTAACAAACTAAAACATTAAGCATAAATACGTCTAATAATTTTAAAATAACACAAATTGTCTTAAATTCTTAGATGCGAATTTCCGGAGGACGCTCAAGACAATACTTTATATGCCTCCTTAAAGTGTCTGTGCCAGACTCTGAACGAAAATTTAAGACTTGACCACAGTTCTTGCACTTTACTTTCTGACCTTCTTCATTTTCTTCTACCACCTCAAAGTATTGCCAAATATATGAGCGCACTCTAGAAGTACGGGGCATGATTTAAATTGAATTGAGATTTGAGAATTGAGAATTTGAGATTGAGACTTGAAATCTTGAAAATTGGAGAATGAGAGAAATTGAGATTGAGAAATGAGAGTTGAGTGAAGAAACGAAGAAGAGGGGGGTGTATTTATAGTTTTAGAGAAGGTTAATTTTGTAAATTAAAAAAGGTTTAATTTTAAAGAAAAAAAAGGCTATTAATGCAATTAACACGTTGGGAAACGGATCCCTGCCAGGTCTGACTATTGCTAACGGTTAGTGGGCCCCACTTAATTCAAAAAATCTAAAAAAAACAAAAAAAAGGTTGTACCAGGCCGGGCTGGGCCGGTTTAACCGGTACACGGTACTGTTCACATGAACCGGGTTTGACCGGTCCGGTTAACCGTTACCAAAATTTAAACGGACCAACTCGGTCTACCCCTCCTACCCAGCCCCACTCGGTCCCATATGTATCGGGCCGGTCCGGTTATGGGTCAACCCGGCCCATTAGACATCTTTAGTTTAAGGTGATTGGCCGAGCTTTTAGAAGGGAAAAAAAATATTTTAGAGTATGATAAGTTATGTACCTTGTTGGTTTGATTTAACAAATTTCATATGAAAACTAGATAGAGAACCTGATACAAAGCCTCTTAGTGCTCAGAACAACAAGTCAAATGCCTGGCACAAGTTTTAATGAAATCAGTTAAGGGAATGGCAGAGGGAACAGATAGAGATCAATTCCTCTGTTGACAGTACAAGTCAAATCTAACAGCTGTTAAAGCTGCTTCAAACTTATATTATCAACATGAGGTAAGTGATTTTAACACACACTTGCAAAACCTAACATTGATTTTATCTCTCAAGCGTGTAGTCGCCTTCATTCTCTGCAAGGCATTGAAGAACACAACATCAACATAACAAATGACCAGATCCTAATATTGATTATGTCGTATGTCCTTTAGTGTTATTGTGTCTTTGTATTGTTTTATAAATTATAATTCCTACTCAGCTTGTTTAGAAGCATTTCGTAGGACATCTCTTAAATCATATTCTGTGATTAGCTTTGTAGTAGAGTTATTACAAAGAGACTTACAATATAGCTATTGTGAGTAGGTGAGGGATTAAGAGTTTAATTCCTAGATTAACGCTTGCAATATAGTTATTTCAAGAAGGTAAGAGTTTAAGAGTTTAATTCCTAGGTTACAATATATTGTAATTTAAAGTTGCTCGGTTAGTGAAGTTGAAATCCTACGAGTGTAGGTCATGATTTTTAATCCCATGAACTAGAAGTTTTCCACGTATAATATTGTTGTGTTATTTACTTACCTCTCTGTGTGTACGTGTGTTCTGTGGGAACTGATAGAGAACCAGATTCTCTATATAGTTTGATGGACTCTTAATTTACATCAATTAGTATCAGATCGGGTTCTTTTTATAAAGCTAACACCTAGAAAGGATCTACATGGCTTTTCCACCAAATTTTGAAAAAGGTCAATCAACCTACAAACCACCAAGATTTCAGAAAATGGTTCATAGCAATTGAGGCATTCCCAAGAAGGGCAGCTCTAGCAGAAACACTAAAGAATACGATTGTTGTCACAAGTGCAGAAAGCCAGGACATTTCATCAAAGATTGTCCTCTTCACAAGTAGGTCCATTACAAACACAATGCTGACAAGATGGTTAAGAGGAACGTCCTCGATAGGAAGTTCAAGAGAAGAGATGTCGCTGATAATTGTAAAGCAAGCTCTGGCTGCCTGGGGAGATTCCTCTAGTGAATCTGAGGGTGATGATGAACATGTAGATACCTCCATGATGGTCGTTGAAAGCACAAATGTAGAATATGATTTCATATTTGCACTGATGACAAAATCTAAAGAGGATGAACAAGATGATGATGATGAGGTAAACTTTCTAGACGTTCAAAGAAATTTGAAGTCTTATTCTAAAAAGAAGCCAGTATATTTAGCTAATGTTTTAATTGATGCTTACCACAACCTAAAGAGGATGAAGAAGATGATGACGATCAGGTAAACTTTTTGGACGTTCAAAAAAATTTGAAGTCTTATTCAATAAAGAAGCTGATATCTTTAGCTAATGTTTTAATTGATGCTTACCAAAACCTCATTAATGATAAAAATATTTTAACTGAGAAAATCAGAGAGTTAGAACAAGAGATAAATGATCTGGTTGTTGTAGTTATAGATTTGAAGGAAATAGTGGAGGAAACAAAGAAAGAAAATATCCTCTTAAAAATCTAGTGGAAAAATGCATGAACTCCTCTAAAGGAAAGGAAGTGGAAAGTGAGGCACACCTTAAGCTTGAAAATGAACTCAAAAATGTAAAATTGAGTCTTGTCGCTGAATTTGAAAAAAATAGACAACTTCAGAAAGATTTAAGTAGGATTAAAAGTGATCTGGCTAAATCTTTGAAGTGGACTTCGTCCTCTAATACAATCACTTCCATGTATAAAAGTAATGGGGGAACAAGCAAGGAATCGGTTCCACAAGGAAACATTTCCCTATAACCCACATAGCTAGTATGTTACTTTGCCTGATAACTGGCTTTACACTCACTGTGGTAAGATTGCTCATTACAAAAATTCTTGTAAAGCAAAGTTTCAGTCACAATAAAAAAAATAAAGTTTTTGTTTAAAAAGTATCTACTGCTAAGGAACTTTATTCTCTAAAAAAGAAATGTGCGATGCTTGCATGGACAAAAAGAAGTTTGATTCTCCCTTTTTCTTATTACAAGGGACCCAAACTTGTTTGGGTTCCTAATTCTAATATTTGATTCTCTTGTGCAGGCAGTAGTAAAGGAAAGCAGTCAAAATAGTACATGGATAGTGGCTGCTTTAAACACATGATTAGAAGAATGGATGATTCCCTTTCACTCAAGGCTCTGTAAAGTAGGAGTGTATCCTTTTGAAATGGTAAAAAGGGATACATTCAGGGAATTAGAAAGATTGGAAAAACACACTCTCACTCAATTGAGAATGTGTATTATGTGAATGTCTTGAAGTATAGCCTGTTGAGTGTCTCTCAAATCTGTGACAAAGGAAACAAAGTGAAGTTCTTGTCAAAGTCTTGCACTGTCACCAATCTTATAACTGGTGAAGTGGTTTTGATTGCAAAAAGGTTAAAAAACATTTATGTTGCAGACTTTAAATCTCTTAATGGTGGTGATTACAAGTCTGAGTGTTGTTAATGATGATGCTGAACTATGGCATAGAAGATTGGGACATACAAGTTTCACTCTATTAAACAAGCTGATCAAGAAGGACCTGGTTCGTGGGTTGCCGAAGTCAAAGTTTAAAGATCACAAGGTGTGTGATGCATGTGTGAAAGAAAGGCAAGACAGGTCCTCATTCAAGCCAAAGAAGGAAGTGAGCACCTCAATGCCACTAGAACTTCTTCATATGGATCTGTGTGGACCTACGAGGATGCCCATCAGAGAAGGAAAGAAGTACATCTTCGTTATTGTTGATGACTATTCAAGAATCACATGACAAGGATGATCATGATGGAGATTATTCAAAGGTCCCTCGAGATGTTATTGATGTGGAAAATTGCAAGGTAGATCTAATGACTCAAGTCAAGGAACCTAGTGAAGAAAATGCAGCAGAACTTCCAGTTAATTTGGAGGAACCTGGTCCCTCTATCATAACAACTAAAGCTGATAATAGAGTTGTTGATGATGTATCAAGCACTCCTAATGCAGACCAAAGAAGTGATTTTCACACTTCCATCGATGCCAATGACCGGTCTTACATGGCGGAACGTGGTCCCTCACTTCCTGAAACCCAGGCGTCTAACTGGAAGCACAAAAGCTCACATCCTCTCCAAAACGTAATCAGTCCTTTGGATTCGGGGATTCAGACTAGATCAAGGCAAGAAACATATTTGCTTTCCCAGTATTCTTGTCTCAAATTAAGCCGAAAAAAATGAATAAGGCATTGAAAGATGCTGACTGGATTGTCGCCATGCAATAGGATCTCTATCAATTTGAGAGGAATAATGTGTGGTACCTAATTCCCCGACCCTCAAATAGAACTGTTACTAGAACTAGGTGGATATTCAGAAACAAGCTTGATGAATTTGGAAATACAACAAGAAATAAAGCTAGGCTGGTGGTCCAAGGCTATAATCAAGAAAAAAGAATTGATTATCATGAAACTTTTGCCCCTCTTGCAAGAATGGAAGCCATCATAATTCTCATTGCTTTTGTATCTCATATGTAACTCAAACTTTTCCAAATGGATGTTAAGAGTGTATTTCTTGATGGATATTTGAAGAAGGAAGTTTTTGTCAAAAAACCACCCGATTTTGAATGCCATGAACATCCTAAACATATTT